AGATTTATCTAGCACAGCATAGAGTTAGATAAACACTCCAACAATAACACTGAAGGGCTCACCCACCCACCTGAATAAATATGCTGAGGTGTGTATTTATTTATTTGATTTTTACCCCACGCCTCTAGACCATGTCTACTTGGGGTGGCTTACAAAATAAAACAGAACAGCATAAAAATATATAAAATCATAAAATTACAATTTCAATTTAAAACAATTAATTTAAAGAGAGGATTACCAAGATGGAATAGCAAAGATAAATCTGCTCATCCTTCCATCTCCAGTTAGGCAAATCATGCATCCAAGCTGAATGAGATACTCATATTCAAATTGCATTCTTGCTGTCCTAATTATGATTACAAAGTTTGCTGGGCTAGTGAATGTGAAATTCTAGAACACTTATGCCCATATGCCAAGTGTTGTTTTGGTAATTAAGGAATCTCTCAAACATGGAGGGTTGGTTGTTTCATAGCTCCAGAGATAATGTGTTTATTTACTGGATGCAAACATGTTGCAAATCAATAATTTTTTTTAGTCAAAATACTTGACTATGGAATGTGTTTAACATTGAGGCTAGCACTTTTGAGGAATACAGAAGTGAACCAGCTAGGTTAATAACACATTGCTATTCTGCCACCTGGTGCTAAAATGAAAATGCTACAGCAAGCTCTTTGAAAACATTCGGTTCACCTTCAGCTACCTGCCACACTACCGCCTTTTTTACAGAACAACTGAAAGACAATGCCTCAGCAATTATGCTACACTAATTACTATTGGTTACAAAGAATTACTACAGATGACTATCAGTTGATAATTCTGTTATGCCATGAGAAGTATACTTATATGATTACTTTATTGCTTCATAGCCAATCAGCCTGTGTGCATAAACAGAAATTAAATCACTCTTAAAAGATAGTATTCAGCATCTAATATGAATACGTATAAACAATCAGAAAAACGTAAAATAAGTATTCTCAAACAAGTATCAAGTTGTGAAATTAACTTAAAGAGCTTGGGAAACAGGCAATGAGTTCCATCTTTCCATAGTTCATTTTTAAAGTTTAGCAGTCCTACACCAGTAGTAGTCTGTGCCAGCCAGCAGATGTAAAACTACATAAAGAAGCATTTTTCGTGATCCCTGTTATTAAGGGTTTACGCTACTGATCCTGCAAATCAGCATACAGAGGGCATTCTGTTAGGAAAGTTACCCTGCTGGCAATATCTACCTATAGCATGTTGATCTATATAACTTCCCTGAATCTCTTACAACTGTAACAAGTTCAATCTGCATTTGGCTAGTAGTTGTCTCAGCTCATGTAAACTAATACAGTGGGGTCTTGACTTGAGAACTTAATCCGTATTGGAAGGCGGTTCTCAAGTCAAAAAGTCTGTAAGTCAAGTCTCCATTGACCTACAGGGCATTGAAAACCGATTAATCCCGTAACAGGCCGTTTTTGTTCCATTTTGGTTTTTTTCTGGTCTGTAAGTCAATTCTCAGGCTGCAAGTCAAACCTAAATTTTGTGGCCAGAGAAGTCTGTAACTCAAAAAGTCTGTAAGTCAAGCCATCTGTAAGTCAAGGTAAACTAATAACGGACAAATATGGGGAGCAGCTTTCCAAAAGCTTTGTATATCCTATTGGAGTGGCGGTCTGGATATCAACAGTGTATAATCTTTTAATAATACCTTCTCAGGCCACCTCATATCCTCTCCTGTGGGAAGGTAGGGTGGGGAGTAACCCAGATTCAATATAATTGTGAATCTTAGCTGCCCAAGAGTCCCTTCCCATTTGTTCATAGGCCAATGAAACCAGTGGTGAGGCAGAACAGCATAGTTGCTTTCTTAGCAAGAGTATCCATGGAGCAGCACTATGTTTCAGAAGGGATTATAACCATGGAGGCAGAATTTGTGCTCTGGTTCAACTCAACTTTGAGTCTTTAGTGACCTGAGTGGATAATTATACTTCTCATGAGAAGTATGAGAATCATAATTATCCACTCAGGTCACTAAAGAACTGAAGTTGGATTTAACATTAGGCAGAGTGAGGCAACCACCTCAAGTGGACGTTGGTGGTGAGCATGAAGTGTAATGATATCAGGGCAGACAGAGATGTATGTTCTGCTGAAGATAACTTGCATCTCTCAAGTATAGCAGAGGATGTGTTCCTTACCCCACTATTGGAGTAGGATTCAGCTGCCAATATGGTTAAGCTTTGTACCCAAAATCGGTAAGGGGCACCATCTTGTCTTTTGCCTCAGGCAGCAGGAACTCTCAAGCCAGCCTATTTGATTAAACAAAGCTATAGTTGAAATCAGAAGTGCAAATAGATGTATATCGGCACTGGGATTTTATGCCCAGTTTCAAGATACTGTGCTACTGCCATAGGCTTCCATTGTCATGTGTATATATTATATTGTATTTACAGTACAATTTTTTAAGTTAAGTAGAAATCAAGGATTTCAAGGTTAGGAATGCAATTCCCCACTTGTTGTTGCTTGTGGTGATGGGGAAATGCAACATTATACTTCTCACAAGCAAGGGATTTGTAGCATAGGAGAACGTGGAAGAAAAGCAATTTTTTGCAAATTGAGCAAAATTGTGTAAAATAGTGCTTTAATGCAAACAAGGCACTCTGCATGAAATGGCAGGAGTTGATGGATGTTTAAAGATTACAAGCTTTGCAGAGGGCATTTCTGTCTCTTAACAGCAGCAATCATTCTGTAGTTGTTTTGCACGTGTGTGAGAGATTTGCTTCTCAAAGGGAAAGGGTATAAGTTTAGCATGGACATTTTGCATAAATTATGGAGAGCTTGATATTTAAACAAAATAGTGCTTCTCGTTCCCCTTTTGCCTAGAGGGAGAAATCCCATGGAGGTTGGGAATTCCTCATTGACGCTTCTCATCAAGTTGAGACTGCCTAAATCAATTATAATGAAGAATTTAGTGTAGTCTTTACATCCCTGGTCAAAAAGTAAAGTCCATATCAAATTATTAGATTTAATGTAAGAGATACATTAACCTACTTTGGAGATTTTACAGTACTGTATTGCTTAGAGGAAGTTACAGGAATTTTCTATAGATTACAGGAAATGTAATTTCCCTTCAAACCCTTCAAACATTCTGTTCATCAGATATCAAGCTGTGCAGTGGCCAATATTTCTCTCTACAGACTAGACTTGGATTATGTCCATGTCTCAGTCTTCTGCCCATATGCCTAGGTGAGTGGTATTGGACACAAATGTTCTGAAGTGGTCATGCTTTGTGGAAAGTAAAGGAGATCTAACTACCACATAATTCACTGCCCTCACGAAGTTCATGGTTCAATGACTCGAGAACACATTGTCCCATGTGACCCAAATCTATTGTCAGGGAGAAGCCTTGCTTATATGTATATATTTCCTTTTGTTGTTATTTAGAAGATTAGGTTGAAGGGGGCATTTGTTTCCTCCCCCAGCTTTTTCTCTGCTCTTCCCTGTTAGCCCACTTTTCAGATTTGCCTCAATCTAACCACATTTTGCAGGCATTCCATGATGTTCTTATTCTCATGTGGCTTTCATTGGACTTGATGTTTTAGCTTCATTAGAGGTCTCTTATTGTAAGCTGAACATCCTCTAAGGAACTCCAAAATAGCATCTTGTTCAGCTTAATGTCATAACTGTTATGTAGATAGGCCAATGAAGGTTTGTTTGAGAATAACTAGCAAGATTCTAATTGGAACAAGATTCAAGCTGATGACTGTTCTAATTTTTCATACTCTGTTCCATATGTCATAGCTTCAAACTCCAATTAAGTTAATTGGGGGGGGGGAGTTTAACCAGCTATAGCTCTAATTGATTATTCAGTGTGCCTCCATTATTCACTGTATTCATTATAGACTGAGAATAAAATTTTCAACTTTTTGACTTCTCTTTTGTTTCTTTACAGAACTAGTAGCAGTGCTAAGAGGGGAAATACCAACCCAAGATACTTTTCTGTTTGAAGCTGAGTAGCAAATGTCCCCTAACCTAGCCACCTAGCTCAAGGTGCACAATACTCAAAACTACAAAGGGATTTTGGGGAGCATTAGTCCTTAAAAACAAATTTTTTCATTCTCGGTCCAGAATAAGTCATATTACTTTGGAACAAGAGACAGGAAGTCTCTCACACATCTCAGTGTTTCTCTAGCAGCAAAAGCATAATGTTAACAAATTAAATTGGGACGTGGTGGCGCTGTGGGCTAAACCGCAGAAGCCTGTGCTGCAGGGTCAGAAGACCAAGCAGTCGTAAGATCGAATCCACGCGCCGGAATGAGCACCCGTCGCCTGTCCCAGCGCCCGCCAACCTAGCGGTTCGAAAGCATGCAAATGCGAGTAGATAAATAGGTACCATCTCGGTGGGCAGGTAAACAGCGTTCCGTGTCTAAATCACACTGGCCATGTGACCACGGAAAGATTGTCTTCGGACAAACACTGGATCTATGGCTTGAAGAGCGGGATGAGCGCCGCCCCCTAGAGTTGGACACGACTGGAAAAAATTGTCAAGGGGAACCTTTACCTTTACCTTTTAACAAATTAAATCACTATCAATTTGCTGCTTCTCTGAGGAAACTGTCTGAGGAAGGTGCTTAACAAATCTGCTGTCTGAGGAAAGTGCTTAACAACCAAAGAGCAGACAAAACATTGCTAACAAGCTGCTAGGAGTTGGACAGCCACCACAAAAGATGGAAGCTGCAAAATGGACCCCCAGTACGTCAAAGAGGAACCTAGGCTTCCCTAATTAATTAGTTGATTAGAAACAAAACAATTCCATTCACAGCTATGGATCTCCTAGACCACATCTTGTTGGGCCCATAGTGTCTCCAGATCTCCACAGGGATCATCCTGGGGACCTTTCACACGAATCTCTTTGCCATAGATAGGCAGGTAGATTGGATGACTTCTCTCATAATTCACTCGGGTTTCAGGATTTTATGAGGGCAAAAATGTTGAAAGAAACAACACATGTAAATGCCAGTTGAATATACCTGCTGCAGGATGTGAGATGTGCTGGTGAAGGAGGCATTATGCTCTGCAATAGCTCTTTGTGATGCCAGAGCGATCTCAGGATAAGGAAAATCAATGAGAGGATATACCTGAAATTTAAAAGACAAAGACAATTTGCTCTGTTCCACAAAGTCATTTGTGCTGTCTTTTATCCCTCTCCTTTCCAAGTATACCACCCATTCATCCACCCCTGCCCGGCTTTTATTAAGGCACTAAGTTAACACATGAGTTAAAGTAATGATTCTTTTCCCATAATCTACCATGGTGTTGTGCATAATGCATTGTGCAGTAAGACAAAATCAGAACCAGCCTGCTATTATTAGTCACTTTCCCATTCTAAGCTTGTCCATCCATTTTATCAGTTGTAGGGGATTTGCTCAGCTGCAAAAGCCACATGAAAAGCATACAGTGGTGCCTCGCAAGACGATGTTAATTCATTCCGCGAAAATGGCTGTCTTGCGAAAACATAGTTTTGCAAAACGAAAAAGCCCATTGAAATGCATTGAAACCAGTTCAATGCGTTCTAATGGGCTGAAAACTCACCATCCAGCGAAGATCCTCCATATGGCGGTCATTTTCACTGCCTGTAAAGCGGGGAATCCATCCTGAAAACACAGTGGGGAGCCATTTTGCACAGCGGGCGGCCATTTTAGAACCACTGATCAGCTAGTTTTACAAAACGAAAAAGCCCATTGAAATGCATTGAAACCAGTTCAATGCGTTCTAATGGGCTGAAAACTCACCATCCAGCGAAGATCCTCCATATGGCGGTCATTTTCACTGCCTGTAAAGCGGGGAATCCATCCTGAAAACACAGTGGGGAGCCATTTTGCACAGCGGGCGGCCATTTTAGAACCACTGATCAGCTGTTTCAGAAACATCATTTAGCAAAAAATCCGTTCCCAAAGCAGGGAACCGATCATCATTAAGATAATTTTCCCCATAGGAACATCGTTTTGCAATCGCAAAAGCGATTCTAAAAACTTCATCGTCAAGCAGTTTCATCGTTTAACGAGGCAATCGTTAAGCGAGGCACCACTGTAGTGGGAGATGCAAAGTAAGTTTGCATGTTCCAATTTCATATGATTTACATAATATATACATAAGATTTATGAGGGAGCTGCAAAGTAAGTTTTCATGTTCCAATTTCATATAATTTACATAATATATACATAAGATTTATGAACATGATGGATGTGAAAGTACTGGAAGGAGTGGGGAGCTTTTTGCCTTTGTAATTCTGGAATTGTTGATACCTATATGGAAAACACTGAATCATCAGCTCCTTCAAAGCACAGACTTACACGTTTCAATGAAAGAGCACATAAGAGCCGAGCTTCACTTAAACTAGTCTTTAGTATACAATATTGCCATTATGGTTTCATATGTGTCTCTTCTAACAAAAACAAACATGCATTTGAAAAACATTTTAATATGTTTTTATGGGTCAGCTGGGAGATGGCTTGAGGCAACCTGTAGGTATGACCTGAATATCCTCTACAGACCCCACAAATTCATGGTCGCTCCTCCTCAACTGCCATTAGAGGGTGGCGAAATGATAGTCCATTTGCAAGCAAGGAAGGGAGTATGTTCAGAAAAGAAGAGGTGGGGTGTCAAATCTTATCTGTTCTCTGTTGTCAGTGAGATGTGGCCCTCACCTGCCCTTCCTTAGTTCAATGTGAGATAACCACATGTGGACTATATAAGCATTTTGTGTCTTCTGGCTTACACTGGCCATTAACTGGAGGGGAAGAGTTTGCCTATGTCACTTTAGATTTTTCAACCACATCATTTACGGCTGATTAGGGTAGTGTCGGCCTTGTTCAGGGGTAAGCAAAAGGATACCATGTTGCTCCTATGGACATTTTTTTACAGTGCCTGTCCCCATGGAGCCACCTACAACCTCCTGAGCTATGGAAAATTGGGCTTGCAAGGGAGGTTAGATGTGCGTATTTGGCTAAGTATCCCAACCCCACCAAGCTGCCCACTTCTCATCTAATTAGTATGGAATTTCTTGGGTAAGTCTCCAATATGTTTTCATGAGTGGCTGAGATATCTTTTTGGTGAAGCAAGCTTCCTTTCAACCTGTAGGACTTGAACATAGGAGATGGAGTACATCTGAGATCACCTGTACAAAGCCACTCGGCCATTACAGAGGTGATCCACACAGGCCCTCCTCAGCAGTTAAGTATATGGGATGTTGGCTGTGAAAGGGTGTGGCTACAACCACAGCAGTTCATCCAGCAAAATAATGCGATGGGAATTATTTCCAACCACCCTTCAGCTTGGTGTAGCTCTGCATCTGCGTGAAGGGATGGGATCTATCTAGGTGAGCAGTATACATTTTGCTATGGAGAGCCCCCTTTTTATAATTAATAAAAGATGTTGCCCATTTAAATGAAATGGCCTCCTCCCATCTCTTATTTACTAGCCTCCTGTGGAAATCTTTATATCAGAAGCAAATACAAACATACATAAAGAAAATACTTGTGTTCAATGTACAGCTGGAATTGGTAGAGGTATTTAGAAACAGCTAAGAAAGCAGGATAGAAGAAGAAGCATAAGGTAATAAAAGAATCACAGAATTTTCGGTAATTCATGCATTTCTAATAATTCTTCACTTAAGTCTTTGCTTATTAAAGGGAAGGAAGACACTAAGGACTTATCATGTGAAAGTAACCACAGATTCTGCGGGGGTGTATTGTACCCACCTGTGTGTTTTCATCTTTAAATATGTTCTCTCCCATAGTTTTATTGAGTAGTTCTCTTGGAAAGTTCATCTGGTGCTCAAAAATGAATTCAAATACATTGTTCTTCCTGCAAAGTGAGAAGGATCCAGAACACTACATGAGAGGTTACTGACACTTCATCTAGGAATATGTCTGCCAGTCACATTTCTTGTCATAACAGTCTGTTGAGAATTTTCCAGCTCCCATCAGTATTTTCACTTCCAGTATAAGAATAATACTGACAAGCCCTTTGCCTTTCCCTTACACACAAGTAGGGGACACAAGTGCAAAAAAGACAGAGTGACGAGAAAGAAAAAAAAAGAAACAACCAATCACATGCTGCCACTTTTGCTAGTATACACAAAAAGGCCACATTTACCACATTTTTTAATAATGCACATTTTTCAGCAATGCACAAAAGCCAAGTTCCAAATTATGCAAAATGCCCTACACCCAGAAAAAAAAAGAAAATCTTCACTTTTATCATTTTTCTTGGGACAAAAGAAGTTAGAATTTGTCTCCCTGGCGAAGAGCAGCAGGAATTCTTGGAGTTTATTTGTGACTATTTGAAGCTAAACTCATGTTTATTCAGTGTGTAGGTATGACACTGATTTGTTCCACTAATTTATTTCCTGAACAATGAATTAAATTACATTTTGCACCTGGCCCAATATTTCTGTACTTGGGAGAGAGAAAGTATGGTATTTACCATGCTGATGACAGTGAAATGGATCTTTTAAACGTGTCTGCAAAATGTAATTTTAGTTCTCAGTTTTACGGCATAATCCTATGCATGTTTATTTAGAAATAAGAGTGACAGCTTCAATGGGGCTAACTCCTTTCTAAATTTGTTTATTACTGCTGCCTAAAACTTATAGAGGACCAGTAATCTCTACTATATACATTCAGTGTGTTGTGGAAGCAATATTCCAGTTGATATATTTGACAGCTGCAGTCAGGTTTTTTTAGGTGATTATATTACACTTGATTGAATAGCTTTAATATGTTGGGAGAAAGAGCTGTTATTTTACGAAGAAAGCTGACCAAAGAAAGAGGAAGATCTTGATGTAAATTCCCCCCTGCTTGATCCATGAATCTAACATACAGATAATGATTGATGGGGCACTAACGTGTAATAACTCCACTACTCACCTGGTTAATCCCAGATTATTTGCTCCAAGAGCATCTGATTGTCTATCTGGAAATTAAAATCCCAGTGCTGGTATAAAATATTTGCTATTCATTCTCTTTTTCTTTCACTCCTACAGTTAGTCTTAAACATTTACTGAGCCCAAAATATGTGCCAGGTGCTTTTGAGACTATGGAGATACCGATCGGTGCCCTGTGATCTAAATTAGAATTTATCAGTCAGTAATAGAATAATTTAGAACTGCAGAGCTGGAAAGGACCCTGCTGATCATCAAGCTTAGCCCTTGTCAAGGAGGCACAGTGAGGAATGGAATCGGCAGCCAGAAACTTAAACTATTGAGCTATCCAGAAGTTACAAAAGCACATAGGAAGGAAGGGGGGGGGGGGGATGCAGCCAGAAACTTAAACTATTGAGTTATCCAGAAGTTACAAGAGCACATAGGAAGGAAGGGGGGGGGAGAGAAATGGTCACATGGCAAAGAAGAAAGAGGGTGGCTGAGAATGAATTCATTCAGAACTTGCCACAGAAATAGAGAAAAATCCACAAAGAGGATGGCTGAGAATGAATTGATTCAAAACTTGCCACAGAAATAGAGAAAAATCCACAACGAACCCAAAAGAGGTTAATGGAGCTTGAATGCAGTCAGTTTGTAGTTAAGAGTTCCTCATAGCATGGCCTCACTGTGACATCATCATTTGGAAATACAGTACAAGCAACCCTGACCAGAATGATCCGTAGGAGACGATGCCGTAGTTACTGTCCTGCTATATAAGCATCCCATATTCCAGTTCTCCAAATCCAAGTTGCACCGTGTGCCCGTTATGCAAATAATATGCAAATACTACTAGGTATCTGTAACGGGCAGCCATGACCTCACCTGTCCGTCACAGCTGGGCAGTGAGTCATCAGCCAATGGTGTGACGGAGGGTGGAACTTAAGGGCAGGAGCTAGTATAAAAAGGGGGGTGAAGAGTGTGTGTGGAGATTGAGTCAGAGCGAGATAGTGAGTGAGTGAGATCTGGAGAGATCTGGTGTGTTAGAGGCCTGCATGCCTGAGTGTCAGTGAGGGAAAGTCTATGTGTTTAATTAATTGAAAAAAGTGATTTACAACATGATTATCTTCCAGTGATTTACTTATTTTATTTTGTAATCAATAAACCAGTTTTATTTTTGAAAGAAACCCTTGTCCTTTTCATTTAAAGGAAAGGTTGGTGGCAGCAAGAGAGGCCTGAGTTGGCAGTGATAAAAGAGTGGCCAGCCATGTTACAGTGTCCATATTTGCATGTTATGAAAAATGCATATTATACAACTTCATCACATTCTTATTACATTGTTTTTCTAGAGAGATGATTCTGCCATGGCATAGAGAAGTAATGTATTGCCATACTTGTGGGATTTTGGATATATTTGCCTGAGCTGACTGTTGGGTTTTCCCATCAGCTTCTATTGATGTCAGAAAGCCCTTTAGGTACATAAAACTAAGACAGGAATCCTTCACAATCCACACTTATGAAGTAACTGTCATGTGTTCTACTGGAAAGTGGCAGCAAACTGCAGAAATTAGGTTGAGAAATTAGATATGATTTCCTTTAGAGACAATGGCCAGAAACCAATTGCTTTTTAATGCCACATCCCTCTAGCATCTATAAGAGAAAGAAAAACTTGCTATAACTGAATATTTATTACATAGAATTCTGTGTTTTAGAAGCCTTTAGCACATTTGTCAATTTTTGACAATAACAGCAACAACAGAAAGAAGAGCACATACCAAGTTATTGTCAGCTGAATAAAGTGGAGCAACTTTTTCTCTCCCCGGCAGGTAAGACAGGTCTTGTTGCCTCTTCCAGAACAAGTACTACACCTTTTGGATATAAAATTGAAGTCTGTATTTATTCATTTATTCTACATACTAATGCTAAATACCATGAATACCCAGAAAATCTAAACACAAAATACAGGACAAATTCATTCCAAGGATGAGTAATATTGTAGCCTGAATTCCACAGAAAAGGAAATTGTTGAGGTAAACTTGAAAGCCTCTCTTCTGGTGTAATAATCAAGAAATGCTGAAGAAAACCAGATGAGTTTGATAATTAAAAAAAAAGGCAAGACACAAGAAATTTGTGGTCATGCCTCCTACTATTTCTTTTTAAAGAAGCAGCAGAAAAGCCCGGGATGTTGATGTCACACTGCAGAGTTAACAAATGTTCTGTGGGTGCCATTTTCCAGTCTAAAATTATGTCTCACAAAACTGATGTTTCCCCTGTTGTGAGAAACACACCTGTTCTGTCCAGGTAAACAACATGAGCCTTGTCCACCACTACAATGCCTAACTGATTTGGTGGGGGGGCAGCATTAACACGAACTTCCCGGGCACTGGTCTTATGATGAGATCCACTGAAGTGATCAGCTGTGCTAGGAAAGCACAGAAAGAGGCAGCACTCTGCTTGGCTTTCTACCTCAAGGTGTGGAACAGATGTGGTTATAGACATACATTAACTTTTGGAATGTTGGAAAATTAAATCATAGATTGTCTAGATTAATAGAAAGAAATTTTTTTAAAAAAGAAAGGGAGTGGAGAGAGCAGAGAGTATCAGAGTCATATGGGTATTTGGGCACATTTCCAGCATGTCCCCACCTAGGTACCAGAATAAAAGTATAGCATTGAAAGAGGGTAAACAGTCCTTCCTTCCTTCCTTCCTTCCTTCCTTCCTTCCTTCCTTCCTTCCTTCCTTCCTTCCTT